GAAGGGACCTTAAAGATGATCTGGTTCCAATCCCCCTGCCATGAGCAAGGACATCTTCCACTAGACCAGGTTGCTCAGAGATCCATCCAACCTGCCCTAATTTCTTCCTAATATCAAATCTAAATCTGCCCTCTTTTAGTTTAAAGCCATTTCTCCTTGTCCTATCACTACACACCTTTGTGAAAAGTCCCTCTCCATCCTTCCTGTAGGCCCCCTTCAGGTACTGGAAGGCTGCTATAAGGTCACCCCGGAGCCTTCTCTTCTCCAAGCTGAACAGTCCCAACTTTCTTAGCCTGCCCTCATACATGAGGTACTCCAGCCCTCTGATCACTTTCATGGCCCTCCTCTGGACCCACTCCAACACATCCATGGCCTTCCTATGTTGGGGCCCCAGAGCTGGACACAGTACTGCAGGTGGGGTCTCACGAGAGCAGAGTAAAGGGGCAGAATCACCTCCCTTTACCTGCTGGCCACGCTTCTCTTGATGAAGCCCAGCACTCTATGATCCAGCACACAGATGGCTGCAGCACAGACTGCCCTGATTTGGCATTTTATTGCAAACGTTTCATGCAGTCTGAGGACTAGACCTAATTCCTTCTGAGAGGCAGAGATACATGAGAGAGCTGTGTCAACACACATCGTTGTCACGAGAAAGTGGAAAGACACTGTCACTTCCAGCTCACAGGGTATGACTGAGATAGAGCCTTCTGACTTTAAGGGGATTTTAAAGAAAGTAAAAATACCCATATTTTTCCCCAACAGAGCCGTATCCATGAATTGAGGGCACCTTTCCTCCTCTCAGGTAAGGCATTACCGCAGATAAAACCCACACCATTCTACAGTATTTGACATCCAGTGCAGGTTGATGGGAGTAAATACTCACGTGGAACCTAACTTCTCTTCCCCTAGCATTCCCTGAGAAGAATGGATGACAACAGCCTGGATGTTATGGGCACCACCACTTTGGCCTGACAGTGTCTCAACCATTCACTTCTGCTCAAATGTAGCATCTTCAGCCACTGCTCCCTCCTCCTCTAGGGAACTCTCTCTCAAGCATGAAATACCTCCTGGTCCAAGCAATAATGCTTAGTTACAGGCTTGATAAGGCAGCACAGGCCTGTTTCTGTGACAGGCCACATGTTATTGCAGCAGCTATTGCAGCAGCTACAGACTGACTGTAGGGGAAAAATACAAATTGAAAGCTTACATAAGAAAGCATTGGAAACACGATACTCATAACACTCCTGGATAGACAATCTAGTCCTTTTAAGGGAACAACAGGGATTTATACTGCTGTTTCAAGAGAGAACAAAGTCTTTTCAGCTCTCAGGCAAATCAGATGTAAAGCAGCACATGGGACAGCAGCCTTAGGAGGAACCCCAGTCACAGTGAAGTTATCTTGCATAGTTTCTTCTTTCCTCTTCTCTTTGCCTCCAATTCTTCCTCACCTATTTCCTGCTAGGGTATGGTTATTCAGGTAGTATCAGTAATGCCAGTATCTTCTTAGCAGGTTACTTTTATCTCTCTGGCCTACCTACTTCTCAGGATCCTTAGAAATCAGCATCTTCTTGGCTATCTCTATTGGTTTTCCTGCATGCATGCATGACAGCAGCCAGGTCAGGATCTTGCCCCTTGCATAGTCCAGGTTACAATATGTCAGATAATAAGATCACACAGAACTTCCTTCATATGTCTGTATTTACACTGGGACATCCAATCCCCAAACAGGTTGGGGATAAGGCAAAGACGCAACACTGTTCCTGTGGTTTTGGTACACACCCACCCAAGGTGAAACTCGCATCACAACAGGAACTGGATTCCAGGTGATTTTTTCTGACCCTCTGGCATGGACTTCCTGAAGTCAGGACAGACACTTTTAAGTACCAGCACAGGCCAGCAGAGGAGTTTTGCTGTCAGGAAGTGACAGCTGCTTATAAACATGCGTTCGTTCTCAACATGGTCTACCTTAGCCTCAGGTCAAACTTTCCTCAAAAAGACTTGGTAAATCTTGGCATAAAGGTTGCTATATTTCAATCGTAATAGCCACAAATCTGCGAAGACAGTATTTTTGGGGGACACTATCATGAAGAAGAACCTCAAGCCTGATTAAACCCAATTGTAACCACAGACAGCACGGGATTAGATAGACCATTCTATAGTTTATTGAAATCATCAACTTTAAGATGTTTTTGTGGGTTTTTTTTTTTTTAACTCAAATATCAGCTGAGAGCCAACAGCATTGCAACTGCAAGTCCACAGAGCTTTTGGGGAGGACAAATAAGTTTTGGATGAACATATTGGTTATCTCAGATATCATACACTTCAGGTGTAAGCTTAACTTCTCAAATTGAAATAATAGGGTCTTATTTCATATGGACATTTGCTTTTGCCCAATTCTCTACTAACTCAGAGAGCATGCAGCACACACAAAAACTTCAGGTTCCTATTTCAGACTAGTCCTTACACCTGGTTTCCAGAGTTGATCAAGAGCTATGGTACATTGGTAAACAAGGAATAACTGACAAAAAGCAGTTTTGTTTTCTGTCTCTCCCAAAGCACACTCTGCTGGGGTGTGCAGATTACCTCTCTCTGAGATTAACACATGTTAAACATAGTCAGAAGGACTTCACCAGATTAGTCAAACTAAACAGGTAGCCATATAACATTCTTTTGTTCATCAGACAGCACAGCTAACAAACAAACATAACAAAGCAGTAAATATTTTGAGGCTAACCAAACTGCAGTCCAAACGTCTTCTTTAGATGTAGTAGATACATAATAGATCTCACCTGGGAAATATAAACTGAATCTTTAAAAACTTTCCAAAAACATGCCTTTGGATTTTCATTTGTCAAGTAAATCACCAAGGCAATGAAGAAACCAAACCTAAAACCCTATGCTTGAATATAGTGGAATACCTGACCTGACTTCACTGAATTTTATGGGAAGATTTTCTCTATTTCTACCAGCATTAGGACAAGGTGACTGGAAACCAAACAATTCAATTTCAAAACACTAGACATCTTCAGGGAGATAGCAAGCATCTTCTTCTGGCTCAATCAAACACGTATTCAGAATACTTGCTACATCATCATACTCAATTAAACCCCATTTTCGAAAGTGCCTTTGGCATCTTTGAGAGCCCTCATGTTTGCTTTATAAACACATACAGAAAAAGTATAACAGCTTATCAGCTGCACCAATTTGAACAAACGGTGTTTTGCAATCGCAAGGATACACAGATTTACTGTTCCTTACTTTAGCTAAGCCATCCAGTACTGACCACTAAACCATTCCATTTACGATGGCTAATTTGGAAAAAGAGACAAAATAAGCTCCGATCCTAAACACGGGAAGAAAGAAATCAAAGCACTGTAAACTTCATAGCTAAAATTACAAATGCCAATCACTGCTATATAAAGAGCAAGAACTTATTGGGACTAATGTGTTTTTCTGAGAAATTACTCAACAAGAATTAACAGATTTACACCAATGAAATCTAAAAGCTCCCACCCCTCTACAAGATACTGAAAACTTCCAGAAAATATAGTCCACATGTCATTTTCTGTGTCTCTCTTCAGAAATGGTATTTAAGAAAAGAAAAATAAGAACACTTGCATGAAAAAAGGATCTTTGCATCCAAGAGCCTCATCTTCCCCCACTGATTAATCTTTCCTGAGGGCCCAAAACAGGAGCTGCCAATAGAAAAGGAAAGCATACAATCAACTTAACTGGGCACAAGACTGATTTTTACCTCATAATGAGAAAAAGAGGATCTGCTGTACAAATCCAAGAGATGCACAACTGATCCATGTTGACTGAGCTAAAACATTATAAACTGAAAATATATGGCCCCATACCCCAGAAAAGTTTACAGACTGCACAGCCAAGTAGATAATGGATGCAGACAACACGAGGAAAGCACAAGGACAACATAGTCACATAATACCAGGACAAGGGGTTCAAACAGTCCAAACTCCTACAACAATACCACCTCTACCCAGCTCCCTATATGACAAAAGAGGCAGGACTCTACCAAGAATAGCAGTTAAAGGCTCACAGGCATCCTAAATTGTCTCATTTTGAACATTGGTACAAGAAAGCATCAGAGAAGTGAGGAAGGAAGGAAGCTACACAAATATGTAGCTTTGCAGCCCTCCTCCAACAGAGGGAGGACCAAGAAGTCTGAGGCTGATTGAGGAAAAAAAGGCCATAAGCACATTGTTCAGCTGTTTTTAAATGAACTAACACAATGTCATGCTTTCTGGGCTTGTTTAGCCTGAAGAAGAGAAGGCTGCGAGGGGACCTTATAAATGCTTACAAATATCTGAAGGGTGGGTGTCAGGAGGATGGGGCCAAACTCTTTTCAGTGGTGCCCGGCGACAGGACAAGGGGCAACGGGCACAAACTGAAGCACAGGACATTCCGTCTGAACATGAGGAAGAACTTCTTCACTCTGAAGGTGACGGAGCACTGGAACAGGCTGCCCAGGAAGGTGGTGGAGTCTCCTTCTCTGGAGATATTCAAGACCCGCCTGGACAAGGTCCTGTGCAGCCTGCTGTAGGTGACCCTGCTTCGGCGGGAGGGTTGGACTAGATGACCCACAGAGGTCCCTTCCAACCCCTAACACTCTAAAAAGAAAAAAGAAAAGAAAGAATTCTAAAAGAATTCTTTGGCCATTCCTACCATGTACACAGATGACAGCCTTAACATTGCCAAGCTGAACAATTCACACTCCAACTCCCACTGCTCACAATTGCATCTTCCCACATGACAGTACAAGTCATCTATATTCAACAGCAAGGTCCAGAGCAGCATTTCTAGATATCAAGAAATGTGCAAGCACATGAAAATCCTCCACGGAGTTTACTATTGGCTACCTAAGCATCTTCAGAAACATGGTTTTGCACGCCAAAGGACGTTTCTGTTTCATAGCAGCTGTAATATCCATGTGAATTGCCAGGCAATTAAAGCTCACACGTGCAATTGTCTTTTCTTACCAGTCATTATTCTCTGGGCTTCATATGGTTCCATATAGCCAGTGTTCTCCCCTTTTCCCTTTTTGTTCAACTCACTTTTGGCATCAAATGGATCTGAGTAGTCATCAGCTATCAATACCTGAAAGACAGGAAAGTAACTGTTACATAAATCTCCAGTTAGATGTGAAAACCTGCAGGTAGTAACAGTCTACCAGCGAAAAACCCCAGCTTTGCACAGCTTCAGCTTATGCCATTTTCAAAGTACAGTCTGAGTTCATAAGATAAATACACAATTGTCACAAATCAGTTACTAAGCAGTGCTGAAATAGAAGTGTGCTCCTGTTCATACCAAAAACCTCAAAGTCAGACTATGTCAAAAGATTTCTGACTAGCACAAGATATGGAGTAAACAGGATGGGCAAATTAGAAAGATTCAATCAGTCTGCATATTCAATCCACTGCAATTCTTATCAGAGAAGTTTGCTAATATTCAGCAAAAAACGCACAGTTTCACTTGCACTTACTAACCCCTCTGCTTTATAGGTTTATCGGCTACAACTGAAAATATTGCTAAAAATTTTTCAAATAAATACTCAAAGGCTACTCTTTTCACTGCATTAATAAGATGCTTTGTGATTTTAGTTCTCAGCCAAACAGGCATAAGACACAAAATAAGCTTCTTGTTTAAACGTGGTTCCTTGAGCCCATCTGTGCCATTCTTTCTCTCAAAGGAACAACATATTTACCTGTATTTTGTGAACTAGGACAAAAGGCACCAAAAAGAAGTTATCTGTCTATCAGAAGTTTCCTTCCTCCATCAGGAGACTAGAAAAACCTGAAGGTTAGAAAATCTCACCCCTCACTCTACACTACCATGCTCCCCTGGCCCCTGCAAACTCACTCTATTCTGTGTAAGCCCCATTGGTTATGCAGGATTTTTAATCAGCTGATTAAAGTAACAGTCATCATTCCTCCCTGTTACTGAAGGGGTAGAGTTAATCTTGGTTTCTAGAAGCTGACAAGGAGACCAGGGCAATAAAAAACCCCCTCACATGAGAATTACTGCAGAGCACAGAGACTTGAAGTAGGACAGGCAAAAGAGTCTGAAGCAGGGAAAGCAGAGCCAGACCTCAGCATCAGAATCCACACAGAATCATAAAATAATTCAGGTGGGAAAGGGCCCCAGGAGATCACCTGTCCAACCCCTCACTAAAGCAGGGCAAGCCTAAACCAAGGCTCTTTCTGACCCACCAGTTACTTTACATCTTTAAGACCAGCACCAGTAAGACTGACAGCAGACTGCTATTCCAACAGTTTCAATATCTTCAACAAAGAACCACGAGTACATTGCCAGCTATGAAACTGAAACTGCGTCTGCTCCTGTCTCCTGCTGCCAGCCTACCCCACTAGACAAAGCAAAAAATAGGACACAGAAGCATTTCCAGATCAAACACCTGCACAAATGCCATGGAGTAAGTGAACACTGTATTAGAAAAGGCAGAGACATCCCTTAAGATCAGGGAACAAAACATCTAACACACTTTGTTCACTACTCAGGCCCTGCAACACTGCTACACTGCTATTTTATATTAGCTACTTTGCTTACCCAAAACAAAATCCCCAAAACAAAAGAAAAACACAGTCATCCAAAAAAACCCCACCACATTCCTCAGCATAAGCGCCCAACCCCTGTATTACAGATCATTTCCCAAAGAAAGGACATTCTAGAAGGTGTATTTGTTATCAGTGAATGCACAGATGTGAGTGTCAGAGCAAGACTTAGCTGTCCTACAGTCACAGGTTAACAGCTCAGATACAAAAGTATCTGGGATTGATGTTTTGTTTATAAATTAATTGTATTTTGCTCCACTCAAAGTTTAAAGTGACTGGAAGTTTCTGTTCAACCAGAAACCACCAGACTGACATGGATAACAGAGGGACAAAATAAATATTTTTCTCTCACTTAGTGTCCAAAATTACTGCCACAGTATTGTGAAAACTGGCTAACCCGAAGGAAAAAAGTCCCCTCCTCCACGTCTGGCAACATATGCCCAAGCAATAAATCACATGGCAGCAGCTGCACACACTTAAGACAAATACAGCTATGTGTATCATGCAGCAGTAATTGCTCCTAGTCACAATGACAGGTTTATCTCCTAAAGTGCTGCAGTTGAAATGCTATCGATTTAGTCTTTTGATGCAATCCTGTTAAGAGCTGCTGCATGGTAGCAGGGGCTCTGTTCTGCTCTCATGTTACACATGTTAACAAGTTAATACCTGACAAGCCTTACCATAACTGTACTAAAAAATAAAACAGAAAGCAGTCTAATGCAGTTATTTGATATTTCGTCTTCTCCATTTGCCAAAAATATACCAGGAGGAAAATTATACATCTAAAATGCTGTCAAAGAAGGTAAAAATCAAGAATGATTTGCTTTAAGCATAATGGTAACATATTCAAGAGCTTACTCTACCAAACATGAACAGAAGTACTAAAGTAAGAAAATTGTTATTCAGAAGAAGTCTAACAAAGCAAAAGCTGCTTGCTAACAAGGAAATTAAAAAAAAAGATAGTCCAAATGTACATTATTTCATTGTTTTAGATATTACTATCATGACATGTTATTATCTGTAAGTCTGTACCAGATCAGACTGAGGCTTGAAACATACCAACTACAGTAATCCCTGGAGTCAAAACCTCCCCTAGCATGGTCAGTGAGTGTAAACTCCTCCCCTCCAGATGAATAACAGTATGACAAGCACTATGAGATTCCATACAGCTCACCATAACTACATTTCCAATCAGGTCACCTATCAAAATTTGTCAGTTTGGGCAAACCTGCTCCCCCAAATGACCACTCTCCAAAAAACTCCACCCAAATCCAAAAGAAAAACAAATAAAAACCTCCAAACAAATCCCAAACTCACTTCTCAGCACTCAGGCAGAAAAAGCAGTCTGCTTCACCTTCCTGGAGCTGTACGTCTTTCCTTATTAACACTTGCTTTACAGCTCTGAGCTGTCAGAAGGCTCACCAGGTGACCGTTACTTTTTTCATGTATATTAAAATTTACTAATTCTCAGCCTTGAAACGGCAGCTGGCCAGAGCAGCTATAGATTCTCCACTTCTAGGAAGTCTCAAATTTTTCTACTTCTTTCAAATCAAGGCTTTTGTTCAAAAAGGCTTGAAAAACTCAAAACGAGTATGCTTGTTAGCTCTTCTATAACATAACTACCTCAAATGTCTAAACTCCATTTCACAAACCCATTACAGAAGATTATTTCTCCTGTTCTCAGAGATCCCAGCCAGACTCTGCTCTGCAAGTCATTGTGCTGTCTCCCCAGAAATTACTTTTGCCTTAGCAAGCTCATCTTCCAAGCCTATATGCAGCAGGTCAGAGTCAGAAAAAGTACAAAGTCTTTTGATGAACAACAAGGTTCTGAGTACAACAGTTTTCTAGTGATGGTACACATAATAAACAAAACCTTTGCTTCATGCCAGAGGGTGTGAGTACATTGTCCTCGTACCCCTTTATACTACCCTCACAATGCACAAGCTTGCCAATCTTATATGCAAGTTCTGTTCAAAAATCTATCAGTATCACAGGTACATCCCTTGCATGTGCAGTGGGGCTCCGCAGGTCATGATCTTAACCACCTCCACGCTATGTGGGGAAGATCCATTGGGAGAGCACCATGCTGTCACCTGTCCTTCACGGGCACATAGGAACAGAACAGGCCTTTTCATGTTGGGGATATGTGTGCTGCGTTTTTTCCTCCCAACAACTTTTCAGCCACTGCCCAGCAAACTGTTCTCAATCAGCCATTTGTTTTCTGTTGTCCAGAAACCAAGGCCAGCACAGAAGATCCCAGCTTAGGCACTGCATGCAGTGCCCCTCCCACATCTTGGGTTAAATGCACTTCCAAGGCAAATGGCTAAACTTGTTCATCTGGCCTCCATATTCATTTTTCATGTTAGTGACTAACAAACACAGGATAGGAAAGAGAAGGGAATGGATGCCATCCATCACCTACTAATACATTCCTCCCAGAAGTCTCAACTAGTCAGGCCACCCAGGATCTAATGTTGTACCTGACACCTCTGCCTTAGACACAAGAGGAATGTCAGTACGCTGAGGTTTTGTAAATGCAGGCTAGAGAGGGCATTCACACACAGGGTCTCACCTTTGGAGCAGGACAGAGTTAACTTACGTCTCTGCCAAATCCAGCCACCTATCATGTGGGTCCTGCCTGTCAAAATGAATCACAGCTATCATGGAATCCTCAGAAGGCCTCAGGCAGCCATTCAGGTTCCAAATTCATGTCTCAATTGGCTGCACTTGTCAGGCCTATTGCTAAAGACCTGTGGCTCATCTCTTAGCAGTATTCAAGATTATCAGATTGGACTGCGTGCTCCTACAACTACCAATTCCTGTTCTATATAAGCCCATCCTATGACACTGCATACACATATGACATGATTTCCCATGATGCAGTTCTAGTAATAGTAACTTCAGACACACGTAACTTCAAGCAAAAGAAATGCCAATACTTACATAGAAGTGCATCGCTCAAAAGTAAGTCAAAATTGTATTTTAGCCTCCGCAATCAGAAAGATCAACAAGATCAACACGGATACAGGAAACAAAGGAGTTCTCCCTAGGAGGCTGTCTGTTAAAACTCCAAGGCAAAAGAAAAGGGGTATGGCTCAGTTACCAGACAAGCTGACAAACTCCAAACCATAGCTCTAAAAAGTCAATTAGCAGATACAAGAGCAAGTAACAACAAAAACAACAAAACCCCCTAGAAAATTAAATACAAGCTGAGATTCTTTTACCCTTCTAATACATATCAACTAAGGTGCAAGCTTCACTGTTGATGCATAGTCTTCATTCTTCTAGAGTCTTAAAAAATACCATTTAAGACATAATTAATATCATAATATATGTAAAAGTATAAATGAGTATTTGCACATGCAAAGGCATGATTTGCATATGCAGCAACAGGAAGACAACGAAGAACATATCTAAATGTGTAATATTGCAGATATCGCTATCTGACTAAAAAACATGTTTTAAAGTGAACAAATGAAAAAGAAACCAATGAGAACTTACCACATCGAAGTAAACTGAGTCATTAGG